ATTTCATAGTTTATCGTATGAAGATAATTTAAAATGTACATATGGAATTATGTAATATGATATTAAATTAGAAACTTAAAACTGAACAAGAAACTCTTGAAAGTTGAAATTTGTATTTATATAAATTTATACTCCGTAATATTTCTCCTACTCCGCAATGGAAACATGTCTTTTCGTTTTCGTGTAATTAATCAGTCAGTTGATTCGTTTTGCAAATATTAAGAAGAATTGATGAGTCGTACGTCATAATACTGGTATGCTGTACTATCATTACTAGACTATGATGCATGAATATTTAAATGCCATACGTCCGCGAATTGCATAATAACAACTTCGCATTTGCGCTCCGCATACACGAAACGAAGTTGGAATAAATTTTATTTCGCGTCAGCTGTTTGTCGTTGGTCGTTCGCTTCGTAAATATTCACTTCAAGGGTAAGCCAAACATATAAATATATCTATGTCAATTTATTACATTTATGTGTGAAACCCACTCGTGAAACTAAATCGAGAAAATTAAATTTATATTTTTATTGAGATTGCGACTGTTTAGTATACTATATTTTTTAAATTTTTTTATTAAATTTTAAATTATAATTTTTATATCACAACTGATTAGAAAAAGCATTTATTGTACGTTAATGTATTTGCGTGTTTAAAACATTTTTATTTAATGCAATTGACCCATTTACTTTGTGTGAGACGCAAACCATTATGCATAACTTAGACAGCTTGAAACAGCAACGAACAATTTTTTCATCTAAATTTTGCTTTATTAATAATTTTTAAAATTTATTATTTTTTAATATAAATACATGAATATCATAGGAACATTGAATATTATACGAACTAATTAAACTTTAAGTAAAAAATTACAGTTACTTTCTTTTGTGAGAGTACTGATAATTTTTCACAAGTATAATAATGAATAATAAATTATACTGATTAAAGTCTACGTAAATATCATGTTTGTATGTTGTACCATGTGTGTTTTGTCAATACAATGACAATATCATTTAGGTGATAATGAAGCAATGCATACACAAGTTTAGTGATGCTGCGTTAAATTATACGTACGTATATGCGTTGCTCCATTACTATCTAGTTACTGTTTAAACACGTGTTAAATTAATGCAATACCGTACGCTTTTCTGCCGCTGGCGTACAATCGACCTGATGATGAGCAAAAGATCTTTAGCTGTTCGGGAAAAGTTTTAGAAATTATTGGCAAAGCAAATTTAAATTAAAAAATTGTACGTAACACAAGTCATATATAATTAACTAATATAGGTTATTGTAACAATTTTATTGTAATAATATAATCTGTGAGATATAATTTTATGTTTCTAGTTTAGTTTCTATGACACAATAATTACAAAAAATCCAATAAAGTTCCATCAGCATAATACACGTCTCAAAAACAAAGAGATTGACACTATATGTGTGAAAGTTATTCATTTTATTTAAAGTATTAACTTCGGTATCAATCTACTTTCGGAATTGCTTCGAGAATTCTTGTCGCGACTGCTTGGACAGCTGAAATGTCATCATAACAAGTCCCTTTCATTGAAATTTTGAGTTTTGAAACCAGTTGTAGGAAACGAAATCGATGAATACGGCGGATAGTAAATTACTGCTACGCTTTTTGGTTAAAAATTTATATGCAGCTGCAGTACACTGTTAGCGAATGCAGCACAAATCGAGAATAAATATTACGCTTATTTACATGATTGTGTAAAATGTTGTGAATCGTAGATTTCGATACCCTAAATTCTTCTGCTACAGCATTTGCACAGTTACATTTGTATCGATTGCCAATATCTGAAGGACTCTTTCCATTTTCCGTCGAAGTCGGTTCCCGGATATCCCAACCGTTTGTCGTCTTACAGATTTTCTCTGCTGTTTCTAAAATCTCGCAAACCACTCAGCTACTCGTGTTTGGAATAGACAATTGTCTTCGTAAACTTGTTTCAACATTTCGTAAGCTGCATTGTTTGCGTCGTGGTTTTATCGAGTTTACAATAAAATTTGATATCGATTCGTCGCTTTTCGTGACGAGATACACTAAGTTATTGTCACTTCGATCGTTATACTCCGTATGATATATTTTTGATGCTGATGAAACACCGATATCTGTTAAAAATAAACATAAAGTTTCAAAACGCCACTAATTGTCAATAAATGGCATTTGCACAAATAATGAAAAAAATTAATTCCACTATCTTTCAAACGTGCCATGTTATTGTGACGTACTTGTGTTACATCTAATAATATTATGTTGATGTAATATTGTAATGCAACTTGAATGTAATGTGAAATGTTGCAAATACAATGTTATCCATAAAGCAATTTATTAACATAATATACGCACCGATGTAATTATATGAATCAATGCAACTGATACGTAATATTAAATTGAAATAACATATTACAATATTTATGTTTTTTTAAATGTAACGATTGTTACGTTGAAATTAATAGATTATTCAAACACTATTGTAGATTGCTATTCCATTCAAATAATTTTAGTAAATGTCTGTTTGGTTTCTGCCGCCGATTTACTGTCAAACTGCGTTCGACAGATCTGTTTAGTTTCTGCGGCCAATTTGTAACAGATAATCGACGAAATCTGTTTTCGACAGATTTGGGTAATCGAGGGGTAGAAATTATAAAAAGCGAGCGTAGTCCTTTCTGTGGCAATTACAGATTTTTCTTCAAACTTGTCTAGTGGTTAAGAGTTCAACCTACATTCGCTTGCTCAATTTCAAGTTACATTCAGAGAAATAAAATAATGGTGAAATACCAACCATACCAAAACCTGTTGCTGTTTTCGAGTCAGCCAAGTCACTCTCACACTCAGCTTTCAAATTCTTGCACATCTTATCGTTAAGTAGTGAGTCTGAAAAGTTTTAGTTATGCGCTAGTAGATAAAATAGTAATTAACTCGAATTCTTATATAATTCCTTGAATCATCTTTCTTTCGATTCTGGTTCAAGAGAAAGCTTTAATCGGTCCTTTAAACTCGGTCTAATAATTTTCTTTTTGAATTCAGTTCAGGAGAAAACTTTAATCGATTTCTGAACTCGTTTAAATCGCCATCCTCTCGATTTTAGCTCAATAGTTGGCTCTATCGGGTCCCTTGATCTTGGTCGAATTATTCTATCTTTTTCCAATTTATTATTTTCAAAATACTTGGTACATGCATCGTTTAGTTAAGTTCTTTTTGAGATATTTCCCATTTTATCACGATAATTGTGCAAAATGTGGAATATTTTGTACAGCATTCATTTCACTTCTTACTTGAATATTTTTTGTATAGAATGATGAAAAGAATCGATTAGTAATACTAATATCTGCTAAATGCAATAAGATTTTAAAAAAATTTTCTATTTTGTTTAATATTAGTTGATTCTTCTCACTATTCTGTGTATAAAAATAACATGAGTGCTACGTTCGCTACAGCGTACCGTACGTGAGTTTTTAACCAAAAAGCGAATACCAGTGATTGACCACCCGTCGTATTCACTCGGTTTGGTTTACTGCTTTTTATTTTTTAAACTCAAAATTCCGATGAAAGAGACTCACTGCGATGACATTCCAATCATCGAGGCAGCCGTGACAAGAATCCTCGAAGTGATTACAAAAGCAGACCTCTAGAAATCTATTCTATTAGTTGACCGTGCTGTATTGATGTCGAAAATGGTATTCTGCATCGCCTCCAGCTACTCGGGGAAATCTATTGCAAATTTCATTAAGAAAGTAGCGGAAAAGTGGATTCGTTTTAAATTTCGTCTGACAATTAGATTTATATCTTTCGTGTAAAATGTAAGATATAATTAAGCCAGAAAATTTTTATTAACACAATTCTTTTTATATCCGATACTTAATTCAACCAGTGCAGAACAGATTTAATACGGATCATCTTATCGTCAAAGATTTGCAGGATTAACCTGAGCCTTAATCCTGAAATTATTGGGGTTCCCTTAAGGAGCTGTATTAGCTTAATAAGCTAACTTTCAGAGCAGTTTTGAAGGGATTAAGATGTAAAAAGCTATGTTCTCTTAATTACTATGTTTTTTCTCATATAAATATTATTACATAACATAATATTATAATAATATAGAAAATCAATTTTTATAGAAATAGATATATATTATTTTATTATCAAATATTATTCTTTACGAAGAACTTCTTCGCAAATTTAGTAGTTAATGTAACCTACAACTAATTATAAAACATCTTCACTTACCTTTGATTGTTCAAAACAGAAAATTTTTTATTTTCTAAAATGTAAAATTATCAATCATGTTTGATTTCCATTTATTTTGCCTTTATTAACTAATTAATCAATTAATTACAAATTCAATTGTTTATAATATAACGTGTTAACTTAAACTATACGTACAATAAGCTATTCAGCTAACGATGGTAATTATTAAAGTAATATTTATGTCACGGCGAGCAATTTGTATGTATATGAATTACTTTGTATAATTATTCATACAAATTGTGTTGTAGGGCGTATTAAATGTTTATGGAAATCTAAAATTTTAATTAATAAAAGATTTCAATATGTAGAAAAATATAGGAAAAAATATAGATAAGTAAATTGTCAATATAAAATAAGTATTTAATAACTTAATAGGTTAGAATTGAAGAATTTAAAAATAAAGTTTTATAATATGAGAAACAATACATATGAAATTCCAAAATTTAATTGATTTGAGCATTCAGAAATATTAAAATACACAGATCGAATAATTCAAGAATTATCGAGTGAATGACAATTCACTTTTACAGCAGAAATTTGTTTTTCTTTAATTATTTTTATATTTATATTTTTCTAGTTTAGTTATATAATATAATGCAATAGAATTATATATATATATATATATATATATATATATATATATATATATTATAATAAGTAACGTATTATAAAATATTATATTATTACAACATAATATAACAAATATAATACAATGTAACACTATGTAACATGGTTTAAATGCATTTATATTTACATAATTTTAATGCAATATATTATGTTACTTACACATTTATCTCATCACGTTCTTAAGAAATTAATGTCAAAAAACAATCTTATTATTTGGAAATTTTAACGATACCGCGCGGGCATCAAGGAGCTAGGAAAGGATTAATGAGCCTTATACCTTAACTTGCTTTTACATTAATACATAATTACAGGTGCAGACTATCCGTAATCCGCGAACACGCTGACGAAGCACATTTTGATCTTGGAAAGCCCATAGCCCAAGATCGATTTGCCGGTGGGAAGGGCTGGGAAGGTTACTCCCTAAGGGTTAATGAACGGTTCATTAATGACGCACTAGGATGCGATCGGTCTTGCTCGGAAATTCCAACCGACGTAATTAATCTAATGGATTAATCTTCCGTTATCCCACGGATACTCGATATACATCGAAATATTAAAAAATCGATATGTGCGTCTCACGCTCCTCTTTTGCGAATAATTATTACTCTTGATGACTGAAAGATTGCTTAAATAATTCTTATTCAAAGTAAATCATTCTCACAGTCTTCGCAATACTTTAGTTTAACGTTAAAATTTCGCACTTGTCGATAAAATTATTATTATGTTCGATAATCGAGAGATTTCTTAATCACTTTTGGTACAGAAAGACCTGTTTCAAGCAGTTTAGTTGTATTATTTACGGTACAAATTTATAAATTAGAATAAAATTAAAACTTTTATTTTCTTCCGTAGAAATAATTGTTACTCGTGATTATGAGAATTCAACACGGTATTTCCTCAGATTAATTTTATTCAAATATAAATTTCTTCGTTAATTGCATCTGAAGAAATCCCGTACCAATTATTGATTTCAAGTTTGAAGAATAACATGTTAATCGAGAATCTGAGATTGATAATTGTGACTTTTGATCACGACTAGACGATAAAGACGATCGCGATGTGATATCTTGGAAACGAAAGTACACTTAATTAATGAGAGACAATCAGAAAACTGCATTTATTCTAGCCATTTATTTTTCGCTAACGATTGCGTTACACGGTAACTTCCTCCGAGAACCTGCTCTTATCATCAAGGTTGATAACTATGGCGTGTGTTCTAGCATGACCAGATTTGCTTCTTGACTTATCCTTCGAATCGGTTTCCTTACTATCCTCCTCGTGATACATTTCCCTGCCAGCATTCTCGTGCTTCGAGGACGTCGATACGACGATGTCTTTGGCGATCCTCTTCAAGTCAGACGCTTCGTTATTCTTGGATGGATCCTGCGCATCTTTTCTTCCAAGCCCGTTTTTTTCGATACACGCGCGACATCGACTTTCGCCTTGAGGATTGTTTCCTGAATAAGCGTAGAATTATTTGCTGACAAATCTTCACTTCAGTTGCAATATGAAATTAATAAATCATTTTGAATCACAATAGAAATAGAATAAATAATAAATAACTTTACGCCTCGGGCGTTCTGATTTTTGCAGCAAATTTAATTTAACCGGGCGATTTTAAAATAGTCGCTTTTATAATGCTGTTTATTTTCTTTTTTTTCTCTCTGGCATTACACCAGAAACAATTTCCTAATGTTTTTGCCTCCTAATTTTCAATTTTAGATACAAATAAAATATGTGAGCCATTTTTATCAGTCTTTCTTTTTCTGCTTTTATTCTCCGTATCTGGGTTAGACTGAATCCCTCAATTTGCGCTACGTAAACCAGAAAAATTTCTCTGATTTTATTTTCGATCGTTAGCTCCAAACACTTGAAAAATATATTTATATGAATAAAATGTTTTTTCTCAATTCATAGAATTTTGGTTGAGAATTTTACTTCCGACTGCTAATTTTGAAATCGCATTCCACGATCTCGCTTACATCTTACGAAAAATTCAACATGCATCTTTTAAACGACTCGATAAATTTTCTTTCCTACCTGCCCGTTCTTGCTCTTGACAAGTTTGTCCAAGGTTGGTTTCCTCGGTCGATTTATTGAGATCGTTCAGTTGGACGATGCTAGTCGAGATTGCTTGAATGGTTGACACTTGAGCCTCGATGCGATTTGATGCTTCTAACATGGCAGCCAGCTTGCCAACTAACTCCTGATTTCCCAGTAAAATGTTCTTTTCTTTTAGAACTTCTAGCTGATTGAGCAAACGACGGAACTCCTCCTGGAAAGGAGTATCTTTTGTCATCCGCACCACACACTTGATTTATAGTGCCGAATTTGTAATTTCCGAAAGGCCGTATGACTCTCTGAATAATTCAAGATTTAGCTTCGAAAAGTTCCAAGATCTTGAAATTTAATATTTCTAAGATTTTGACCTTTAAAGTTCGAAGGTTCTAAGATTATGTTCAAGAAAGTACGAAAATAAGTTTCCAAGCTTCGAAAATATCAAGACGCTAAAATTTTAGCCATAAAATTTAAAAATTCATAGTTTGAACGTTTCAAGCTTCGAAGTTCCGAGATACAATTTTCAAATTTATAAGAATCTCATAATTCGAAGATGAGACTAATGCTAAACCATCAATTTTATCGAAAGTAGATCGATCTCAGATCTAGCGGATAATGTTTAATTAGAAGCCGTACGTGATTTTCGGTACGCTCTGCAGAAATCGCAGGATCTGCGTGGTAATTCCGGTTTACCGTAGGCAGTGCTTACCGTAGCGGAGTCACTCTCTTCAGCAAAATTACCCTGCTGAAGGGATATCGAGTTGGTCTGGTTACTGGTACCCTGCGGACGACTGCTTTTCCCCAGGAACTTGCCGGTCGCGCCGCAAAGTTTGCCGATCGTCTCCTCCTTCCCTCCGCCGCGGAACACCACGTAAACCTTCGTTAAATGCGACATATGTAACAACTAAACTTATGCAGCTCCTAGAGAGTTTCTATTCGAGCTATTAGGAAGACTTGCGCTAATCTTGTACGAGAGAGCAGGATGGCAAATGGAAAACGAAACGGAAATTGCGCGACTTAATCTCATTCCGTGCCGATTGAATTTTATTCCAGCTTTATACGATACCGCGCGCAGCCTCGATTTTGCCACAATAAATCTTGAACAAGGGAGTCTATTTACAGATTAATTACATTCAAACAAATATTTCTTATTCTCGTTAACTTCAAAATTCGCTTAAGAGTATTATATTTCAAAAATACGTGTTTGTTATTAGTTTTAAATTAAATTTATAAAGAGCCTTTAATTAGCAGTATTTTGCAGACTTTTGCGAAACTTATATAACAAGGAGAACAATATCGAACTTGTGAAAGAATTGATTGATGCGTTTCAAGCGCATCCGCCGCAACTATTCAGATCATACATACATCATATCTGCAATTCGAATTCGAGCGGAATCTCGATGAAAGAATCCTTGATATAAAATTTTGATGTAATCAGCAGGGTGATTCGAGGATACGTTCGAGCAGCAAAAAGATATAAGGATTGTATAGTGGACGCGCGTAAATAATATATCTTACTTTACTGCCGAATATCAGGCACAGCAGCAATGTGACGGTGAGCTGGGTGTGGCAGAAAAATATGATGTACAATAAATCCGGATTGGCCGGCGATTGCAGGAACAACCTGCAGCAACGAGAAAGAAATTATTCAGAGCTGTTAGCCGCACGAAGCGCTATCGTGACGTAAGAACGAGTGTCCGCTATACCGAGCGTCCTACATCTTCTGTTATTTTTATTTGTCTCGCTACCTCGAAAATTCAAATTACATTCTTGGCGTTAGATCACGCCGGGATAACCCACGGCTGCGACACTGTTTAACGACATATATTAATGACAGATGCATTAAAAAAAAAAGAAAAGAAACCTGGACAAAAGGATAAAAAATAACAAAATTTTAAGGATAAAACGTTCAATAGAGAGAGTATTCACGTGCGCAAGTTATAACAAATGAATATAATTTCTTTCGTTTCTCAATTTCTACATTTATCGCGCATGCAATGTTAAACATTCGAAAATGCAATAAATTATATACTTAGTATTAAATTTTTGGTGAGGAAAAAAATTAGTTATAAATCGTCAGAAAGATCTGTCATTAAATTTGTAATTAAAGGATACTCAGAAAACATTAACACAAAATTTGCATTTAAAATAAGAGCTGTTTTAAATGTACTTATACAATATTATGCACTCCGCGGAATTAAACTCTTGAAACATAATTTTGAAAAAGTTTAATTAGATTTTTAAATAAACTGCATTACTGTATTACGAAATAAACTCAGAAAATAAATGAGATATATAGATAATATATTAGCAGTGTTTTTCCAATGTTCAAAAACGTAACTTGTAATATCGAATTGCAGACAACTGCGAACGCAATGAAGCCTCGTGAGCGTCTCTTCCAAAAAGTTCGTAATTGGTCATTCTGAATAATGAAAAAGGTGGGCGATCTTATAACGCGGACTTACATTGAAACGTTGAGGAAGACTGATAGTAGAAATTCGTTGTAAATCGCCATTGAAATGAATCGACTCTCATTAAACTCTGACGGAGTTTTTCTTACTACGATGCACAAGCGGATGCCCCACACGAGAAATATCACCTCGACTGAAATCACGTAAAATTCCAAGTTACATTAGTCTCCAAAGCAACTTAACGTTATGTCCAAAAAGCACCGCAGAGCCGTATCTAGCGTTATTTGTGTCTACGATTGGAATTCAAATTTTCGTTTTCGCCCGTTACAGAATTACATACATATGTAAGAGTCAGAATGTAAACGCCAATTTTCACGTTCTAGTCACGCTCTAGTTACGACTCTGTAAATGGAAAAATGTAGGAAAATTCGGTGATCTGAATAATTCCAAATTTTTCATTAAAGAATCCTTAGATTTCCTTTCTAAATGTCAAATGGAATTTCGATCGAGTAACTAAAAATTGGCTCGAAATTGAATGAAAATGCTAATCACATGATAAGACGTGTGTACGCAAGTTTTGTACGTGTTTGTGAAGCGATTTTTCCTTCGGAGATTAATACACAAAAAAATAATGCCTCTTTTTGTTCTCTAATGAGATAAACGTGAATTAACCATAACGCAAGGTTTCCTTCTAAGCCGGTACAAGCCGGGTGTATTAATGATGTTCTTACATTCAACGTCAGAGACATTTTAATGTCTCTGTAATACTCTTATTTAAGAAAGCGTACTTGGCCGTTTATATAATTAATTGTACGATTCGATTGCTTCATGCTTGCAAAGGACATGCAAGCGTCGGTTGCGTGTCGCGAAATATCCTTGTGACTGCAAATACGCACTATTAATGTTCCCGATTGTACATATATACACTATCCATCTTGATTTAAAATCGCGTTCAACCATCTGCAGTATTACTAAATCAATATATGGCTCACATGTGCACGCAGCTTTCTATATATATATATATATATATTCCATATTATATATATATATATGTATATATATTGCATCTCCTAACACGACACGATCCATTGTAATGCCGTATTAGCTGCGAACATGAATATACATCTATATGATCGCTAAATGCCTAATTTAATGTAAATTAATTCGATATACTGGCAGGAGTAATTTTCCAGTTGAAAGAGAGGCGTCGTGATGGAGATTCGGTAAATATTTCACGATGTAGAGACGGAAGCTGACAGCGAGGATGGGTAATGCGGGCTAATGCGACCTGCCACGTATAATACAGGAACTTATGGATATGGCGAAGCAAGGGTACACCGAGACAAATGCCCACTTTCACGCCTCATTTGCAGTGCGTCCCGGTGGTATCGCGCACATGTTTTCTTTTTTTTTTCCCCCATTAAGCAAGATTCTCTCGTCTTCGGTAAATTTGGAGTAAATTTCACGATTTATTTCGTACGTCATCCATCTTCATAACTTTTCAACTTTCTGCATTGAATATTTTAGTAAATAAGCTTTTCAAGTTGATGCCTGCGGTTAAAATAACATTTACTTGAGGGCGAAAGGCGTGCCCGAAGTTTAATTCATCAAAACTCTCTAACTTTCGATCGCATTCTTATACACGGGTTATGCGGGATCCATCATTCTGTAAAAGCAAAGTTAATCCCATGCCGGACTACTTCCTGCATTATATACAGTGGCTCCGCGCCGTGCGCTCATATTTCATTAGAGCGATACAGCTTACGATTATAGAAGTCTGCGGTTTTGAGAGGCAGAGCGTGCAACGTAGGATTAAAACGAAAATCGATATCTCTTTTTATACACACGGAACTTTTATATATACACAGCGGTGTATTTATTGTAACAACACTCACGGGTAGTGAAACTGTGGTCCCACCAGTCAGTCCGGCAGAGATATGCTTTGAGATCGTCAGCGGTGCGCGCGACGATCACGACAGGCGGCGCGACCAATGTCCTTATGCTCAGGAACACGCTGAACGTCAGGACGATGATGCCGAGCCGCTTCAGCAGGCTCGCGTCTGTTATTTTCACGGCTTTCGCTGATTTTACTCGGAAGATCACGGATATCCTGCGAGAGCGAACATTACAAATCTTTCATTACATCCGCGTTTTCTCATCCAGAATTCTCAACTAAGTTTTACTTTCATCGTCAATGTGATAAACGATCTTAAAAACAGATGATCTGGAGAAATTTATGGATTCAAAGAACTGTTTTAAAGAACAGATGACTTGGAAAACCGATATTTTTAATCTTACGCATACACACACACACACACACACACACACACACACACACACTCACAAATATGTATCCGCACGCAAACACACATTGCTTTTCATTAAAAAATAATGACGCCATTAATGATAAAATATACATTTGCGGAGCATTTAATATCGGTTTACTAATTGCGAATCTACCTATCTATCTATATCTACAGTGTGTCTGTGTGTGTAAATTTGAAATATACATATATATTTCTATAATTAATCTAATAATCTGTAAATTCGAGGATTTGTAGATATTGCAGATTCGCAATTAATAAACCGATATCAATATCCTAGAAATGTAAATTTTAACGTTAATTGCGTTGTTATCCTTTTTAATGATAAAGCAAAGTGATTATAAATATTACAAACATTAAAAAACTATTAACGCTGTTAAAAATAACAAACATATATATTATAATAAAATGAAACTTGTGCGAAAAGTAAGAAGAAATAAATTTAATGGTAAAATGTTGTAAAAATAAAAATCTTTTCATTAAAATAAGCATTTATATTTTTACGTTTAAAAATACGGAAAGAGAATTTATCGAGAGATTACGTGAAATGCGTAGAAAGTATAAAAAAAAGTGTCAGTAATAAAATTAATTATTTGAGAACACTAAATATTCGCCAAGCTAATTAGAGTAGAAATGATCAAAATGACATGATTAAAGTAAGATGCACTTATCTTCATGTTTAGGGGATAATAATTCCGTATGAGAGAAATATTTCGAGAGTTGTTCAAAGTATGAAAATTTGATGTGAATAAATAAACACAGGATAAAAATTGTCAACAATAAAATCAGCATAGAAATCAGAACAGAGAACAGTATTTACTTGAAGAGATAAATAGAGACAATAGTCATGAAACACGACCAAAATAATGTCATTGAAGTAAAGTGCACTTACCGCCACGTTTTGAGCATGAGTGCTCCGTATGTGAGGGAAAAGCCAATTTCTCGTAGCCATACGCGCACGGTGCACGTGATGATGTTTGGCCTGGGGTACATAACTATTGTCTGTAACAAGCAAATGCATATCCTGCAAAGCGATGTTGTGTGAATATTTTCGACGAATATATGTGCTGCGCGACATATCTGTTCATCCATTTATTTATCTCATTTGTGTTAGTCGGGTAAATTTTAATGATATCATTTCGACAAATTGCCTTATCATTACTATCCATTCGCCGGGACACATAATTGCGTGTATAATTAAGATTAATTATTTAAAACATAAAATTCTGGCCAAAACTACTTATTGATTTTCTACTTTTTTGTCCGTATGTTATTTACACAAAAATATAAATCAAAGATATTTATAAAAACAAAATTTATATTTAATATAGTGAATTAACGTAGCTATATTTATTTAAAGACCAAAAGTAAACGTTTATTAAAATATTATCACGTATTTCATATCGAGAGTCGTGTCTCGCGCCGACATATACGCGATCGTGTGTCCAACTATCTTCCGCAACGTCAATAAAGTAGAGCAGGAAGCAAGTTTTTTCGAAGAAAACACGATAACAATTAGATTCGATTTTGTTTCTTTCATTAATCCTTAAATATGTTTCTCTTTGTGAAACGATTTCTACAATTGTTTCTTTACAATTGTTTCCAAAATTTGAGCTCTGACTTCATAACATATTATCGTATAAAGTTAGATAATTCCCTTTTGTAATAAGACTTATTGCTGAGAAAGAGAATGATGGAACAAGGAGAAATTACAAGCGGCTCATATGCACCACAAAATTCGATGGCGGTTTCTCCGAGCTTTCCAAGCTGTATCATACAATTTACACAAGGACTCTCGTGCTCTCGCGCGCAGTGAGATATTATACTGAAGTTTAGCGAGAAACGGAAAGCGCACTTCCATAAGCGAGCAAATGACGTCCCATTAAGAATAGTACTTCTAGTTTAAGCGAAACCATCCGGGAGTTCGTACCTCGTACGGAGCAAACATTACGTAGGTACGTTGTCTCCCTACGAACGAGCTCCCCAGTTGGCATACTCGAAAACGTCGGCTCGCACGTTGACACTAACCCCTTCACGGCCGTGCCATTACTTGAGCGTGAAAAATTCCGTCACCATCGCAACGGAAGAGGTAGCATTGCTGACATTTACGGCATTCGCGTAACTCGAGAAAGTAGCAAAGATTCGAAGGCAAACATCGCGCGTTTAAGCGCGTCTCGGAAATGAAAATTAGCAACACATTTTACAGATCCATATTTTATTCTTCTCGCGCGGACTCTGCGTGTTAACTTTTAATCCGTGTTGATCTAAACAGACGGAAGGTTGTGGAATTTACTGAGAACATACTTGTTGTCACTCGAACTAAGCTTTTCTAGCAAATCCCGTAATCTTACGTGTGCTTGATATACTGTGTAACTTTAGAGACGTAGTGGACGTCACATAGTTACTTTACTACACAAACACTTGTCGCAAACTGTGTGCGCTTAAATTAGTTACTGTTTAATTACTGCAATTTAAAGTTTATTATTTAGTTCAGTGAAATAATATATTAAATTAGTTTACATCATTGCGCGCGCGTTGTAATTGATAAATTATTAATTTGTATGATAATATATATATATATATACGCTTAATAATGAAATAACATAATATAATAATTTTGATACGTGCAAATATATTTTCATTATATTTTCTGTTTTTAAATTTTGCGAAAAATATGAACCAAACGATATTTCTTGCAGGTTCTCGCTGTCTTAAACAGATATCGTAGATTCTGCTATCAGAAACAAAGAAAACGTGAGATCGCACGTACGTGAAAAATTCCATTCCCAGAATTTATCTTTATACAAATGACTTTTCGTCCACGGAATCGTAACGGATTCGATAAAGCGGGTTGCGAAATGTGATAGAAATTCTGCCATCAACCCGATATATCACATAAGAACGTGCACGGAATATGTGTCACGGCAACTGTCACTACGGGTCAAAATCTAGAATAACTTAGACATGATGTCTGAATTATTTTGTGTTATTACGTGATATACGTGATTGGATAAAGAGCTTTCATTACATTGCAGAAATATATCTCGTCTGATAATAAGTAGCATAATAACGAATGATAATGAGTATTTCTCATCTTTCTAATATCAAAATTCGAGACATTTTTTTCCGCATCGTCATAAAAACTTTTGATGAAACTTTAATCGATGATTTAATTGGAAAGATGTTGCCGTCCGTCCATCCAAAAGTCCTAATTATGTCACTATTGTGCATGTTATTGTTAGTAAGAGGCTGTTCGGAATGATGGATTCTCATGAAAAAGGTACATGGTTAAAGGATCATTCCCGCGCGATGGATGATACGTCCGGTACATCTGGTTTAATTAGGCAAAGCATGAAGGTCATTAATAACTGGGTGAATACAGGAATACCTCGCGCAGGCCGATGCGAGCGCCGATACGGTGAATTATGTGTTATCATAATTGGCGCACAGGGCGCGCATGCATACATTAAGGATAGTAGTCGCAACAGATGCGGTTACAAGCTAGCGAGGGGAGGTTGCGGCAGAGGCTGCATCTCCCCCATGCAGTAGTGCACATGTGAGAAAGCTTTGTTATCGGATTCGAGCGGCGCGGCGCGGCGTGACATCGGCGCCGACGCCACGCTGCAAGCCTCATGAATATGAAAACACGCTCGTGGGAGAAACGTGTGACGGGGATATCGTACTTACTGTGCAATAAATAAAGAAGGCGCCGAGGACAATCACACGCAACAAAACTGGACTGGCCGCCCGCACCACCTGCAACAAATCATTTTGTTCATTCATTCTCACGCGCCGCTTGCTTGTTAGTTGGCTCGCGCGCGCTTTCAATAGCGCCGGAAACCAGAAGTGCGTAAATGAAATTAGTGTCAGCGGGAGCAAACGGGTGGAAGTGGGCTCACTGTTTTTCATATGTAGCCGTGCTACCTGAAATCGCAGAGTTGACTCATTCACTTTATACATTAGATTTCGGACGTCAAGCGGATAAATTAGCAGAATCTCCGAATTCTCCAAGTTTTCCAGATTCTTCGATTTTTCGATTCTTCAATATTTGGGATCCTCAAATACCAAAGTCGTAGAATTTTTATCTATTCAGATTTTTGAGTCCTTGAATTCTTGATTTAATATAAAGTCGACAATGTATCATTCAATCTCGCTTTTCAATTATTTGCAAAAGTTCAAGTTTGTTACCGCTATGACAAATCATGTTTCCCTATTTTCAAACGTACAGCAGAACGTGAAATTTCTCAATGCCACGTTATCTGTGTCGCATATTATCCGCTTTTCACTGCGTTATCTGTTATTTAAAGGCATCCTCCCCCGAACGCTTTATTTATGTTGCTGCCGCAAGTTTGTGCTTCACGAGTTTATATTCAAAATACGTATGTCGCTGCACACAGATAAATGTGCCAAAAGCACATGCTCATTTCGGCTCGATTCTATTACCAACAACATTTATTTATTTACAGCACTTGCGATCAAAGCGCAATAATATACGATACTTTTTATTAATAATTAGCATTCATCCACGAAATAACGATTTACACAATGCTGCTAAAAATATTAATATTAAAATAAATCTATTATACTATTCGTAATATCAAAGAAATTTTGTTTTTTTATTGTGATTAATATGTTGAAAGAATTGGTTATAGGTGGTCATAGTTGTGTTGTAAATTATATATAAGCAAAGAAATTTCAGAGAAAGAAAAATCAAAGCAGCGGATGTGGGTAAAATAATTTTTGTTTGAATAATCATATCTGATTATGTTTAGTATTCCATAATTTTGGTTATACGTGCATATGTTGCAAGTTGCACATTTCTAAGATAATTGAAATATCTTTTGAATTATATTTTGCTTACTTTGCAAATAACAAACATTACTGCAATCTACAGTTTGAATAATACATCACTTTTAGGATTATTTAAAATTTGTTCATAAATCACATTATAAATGCTGCTTTCAATTTACACGACACTTTTTGCAACGAAAAAGTAGTGGGCAGAACGCGATGCTATCGATTTAGAATATTTTAACTCAGTCAACAGTGACAACGAAAAAAGCAAGCCGGTTTGCTGGCATCTTAAAATACATGATGCTTTTTTCCCTAAACACACCAACACAATTGCAAGTCTGCGGCTAATAAAGAAAAGCATTACAAACCACACGTTTTTTTAAACCTGTAAATTAAAATTCTGTTTTTCGTCATCTAGAAAGTAATTTTACTATCTATTCACAATCTATAGATTTAGATTTTCGATTGCTTACAAGTCATAAGTTATTCAGTCTCGGTATATGCTTATTAAGATAAAATCATGTACTGATAAAGGTGCAGGAACATGTTGTATAATACAATAAGTCTACTGAAACGCTATAATATTTAATGTGCAGTTCGTTATAGATAAACGCCTTATAAGTGTAATATTCAGATATGTTATTATAATCGTCAACTGAATTCCAAATCCGATAACAAGGATTATAAATGCGTTGTACCTCGTTTCATTCATTTGCGGTACTTTCATACGATATGCAAGAAACGTGCCTGAAGTAAAGGAAAGGTCGCGAAGCATCACGATGAGAAACTCCGCAAAATCCGCCGCAGCACGAGCGAATACTCAGGGAGAATAATAGCGAATAAAGTGAGTTAAAGTTCGCCCCGCGCAACAAAAGCTAATTTCCCGTTCGCGTGTCTCGACTGTTTCATTCGCGCTTCGCAGGACGGACTTATTTGTTGCTTCCGTTTTACCTCGTTTTGCGCCGTGTGTTTCATCTTGCATCGCTGACAAACAGAAAAAAGAAAATGCGAAAGAATCACGCGTTCTTAACCCACATGGGGATTACATCGGCTATTAGCGTTGCGAGCGGCAAAGTGCAGTTTCCTCCTTCGTAGAAAAAAGCGATTTGCCCGAATTACCGAAGCGATAAGTTCAGGAGAAATGTATCCGAACTTTCCGGCAGACGAACATACTGTAACTTTTCTCCAACGAAAAACGATCACTTCGACATCGCATTTCGTTGCTTGAAAAGTGACATTGAAAACTTTTCCAAGTCTATTTTTCGCAGTTACATGCATTATCAGAATATTCTTCATCTTCTTCTTCTTCTTCTTCTTCTTCTTCCTCCTCCTCCTCCTCTTCTTCACATATAAAGTTAATTCTTTTTGCATTATAAGCGGAAATTATAATTTTGGACAGTTTCAACATTGTAAGCTTATGAGTAATAAAATTCCAAATTGTTAAACATGAATGATGAATATAACAGCATGAAATTTATACAATTTATCATGCAAACTAGATATGATTGCAAGGACTTAAATACAAACTTGAGCGGAATATTGCGAAAGTATTTGTAATGTGAATTAATATACATCGTTAAGAAGAACGACTTGCGCGAGATTGGAGAATGATATTTCACTTCCGAGATATTTAAATACGCAAATTTGTCGCTCCTGAAATACGTAGATATGATTTATAATCATGTTTGCAGAGAATTGAACTGTTAAAGAGTTCTAGTTTGTCATTTTCTCTGTTTCAATACGCTGATTTTTTTCTTTCTCAGTCTTTTAAATCACGTCTTTCAACTATAATATTATTTATTATTATGTCTTTATGATATTATTATTATAAATGAATAATCATAATATTCAACTTTAAAATCAAAGTTTAAAATCAAAGGATTAATGTCAAATAGAAATAATGCCTATTTTTTTTTTAGAAAAGTTTCAAGCTAGATATAGTTAGAATAAATCCTTGTCCGCTATAATACGCACAATCGCCATGATACTAATTTCGAAATAATTCCAGATTTGTGGACGCGGATGATTATGACGACTGTTGGAATGCTGTATTTAGATATATATCATGTGCCACACTTCATAAGACAGATTACACCGCGATATTAAGCTTGTAAATCGTGACTCGAATATGGATGCTCGCAGGACGACATCGAATGACCGAATTTGCTTGCGCTAAGCCCGCTATGCCGTTTATCTTCCAGAGTCAGATTTATTAATGGAGCCATTAAGGGAAAGAAGGAAGCAATTATCCCGCCGTTCTTTGTCTCATCATCTAGATATGATTAAAACGCACTTAACTTCAATTATGTCACACGTAATTAAATAACAAATAATCCAGCTTTTTAATCATTAAATGCAGTAACAAATAAACTATTCCACATAACAATGTATTCCAACGATTCAGAAGTTTACAATCAATTGTAATAAAATTGTAATAAAATATCACTATTTCCTGTCATTCGATTTCTTCAAAAAGTGCGTTATCAGTATTTATTCATTGCCACTTTTATAATAATAAGAATGATGGAAAAAGATTTCTCATTTTATTTTGTTACATACAGAAACGACCTTTTTGATCAACCTAATACGTCCTCTTCATTCTGTTATCGGATCGTTTTTCACGGAAGCTTACAGAACGCCACACAATTTTAATGCACAAGATTCTCAGGACACGTCGCATGTTTCAGCCTCTCATCCGAGGAAAATCAAGAGGCAGGGAGAGGTTGGTGCGGAGATCCATTCCGCGCATGGCGACGGTTCGCCACCAATTTCAGGATTACGAATGACAGTATAGTACGGAAAATCTGGCTGTTTCTCCGTGCGAAATTCAACAAGGACGACTCGTTGGAAATTCTACGAAATTATCGTTGAAAACGCGCACTCTCGAGCAGACTCTCTTCCACTACCACTTTCATCAGTACCTACTCCTCTCTTGTACCTCCTTTTATTCGTCGCTTTCAATTAAAAGCCTCATGAGAATCATATATGTTGCTTTTTCCCGTTTGCGATGTCGCGATATCTCTTGAAAGCGGAAGAGGTTTTATACGCGAGATGATTCATGCCTGCGTCCTTTCACGCATAACGCGGCGCTGCACGATTCAAAGACGCGACGAGTACAAGTGCAAAAAATCTACATCGATGAAAGAAATAATAAATTAAATTAGATTGTAAAATCTATGCGCGCGAGAGAGTGCAAAGTTGCATGAATGGAACTTGAAAGAAAACTAGTCTGACGATGAAAAAGTTCTTTGATATCTCTGAAAAACCATTTTGCACGCAGATATTCATCGCTTATATTTCCAGCAAAATTTCATCAATCATGTTTTTCTTTGAGATAACAAAATTCCAGTGTGCCATTGCTGCGGTGCAAATTTTAGGAAGCTCATTATTGCTCGCCGTACCGTTCTTGCGTTAATTAGTACTGGATCCCCAGGGATATCTCTTTGATATCCAGACAAGCCGACTGCGTAAAGGCAAAGGCCGAAGTGCTATTTCACTCTCACGCGAGAGACCAAGGGCTCGACGAATGAAGGTGTCGGAAACTCAGAAGAGCTAATTAACACCTTGCGGTCGAAAGGATTTCTCGCAATCGTGACTTCAATGCGACAGACAGGCACAATTTCATTTGAAGACTCGGGGTAACGAGAGAAAAGTCCAATAGCCAATTCAAGATAAGCTCTTAATCAAAAAACGGATTTATGCGATCCGAATGCAGATCCGAACGGAAAAACTCTATATACGCATATTTTTATTTAGCCATTTGAATGGTCAGTATCGAATTTTATCAGTATTTGTCACTGTTTGCATAATTCGTGAGTCACACATCAATTAATAAACACTATTCGGATAAATATCGATACTAAATTATTCACATAATTTAATAATCCGCGCAATTCATTATCGTATATAATGGATAATCATGCTTCCATAATATATATAATTTTATAAATAAGAAATGAGTCCATGTAACTAATCTGTTAAACGTTTAATACCACGGCAGTCGAATAATTTCTGATTCTGGCACAAGTTCAATCGCGAAATACGCCAGCATTTTGACATAATTATGGATCACAAGACACTCATTCATCAGACAGAGTTTAAAGAGCCCCTTGTACACAATCTCCGGGAGCTTTACACCTGGGATAAGAGTCTTTCGAACAATCGCGCGTGATATCGGAGGCTGCGATCGCGTACTAGTGATTAACGTGTTAACCTCGATTTATCCGATCGGCTATTAAGATTAGCCATAATGAGATACCAGCCCCACTTCCGAGCTTCTGTCACGGAGCTCAAATACGCTCTATCGTGCAAATAAGTCGGACAATCGTTAAAAGTCTAAGAATAGAAATTGTTTGGAAAACAAATAAATATCATGCTGTTTCTGAATATTTAAATAGATATCTCGCTATAAACATTATTTGACATTATTTCCGTTGTTTCCGTCGACTTGAGATTTATACGCTTGCGGAACCCATTTTATTAGCTATCACGATTTTGGAATTTATGGACTTTTCCGTGTTGTTCCCGAATGTGCCGATAGAATGCCGGAGAAAAAGTTATATTTTACATTCGCCGTGATTTTATTATTTTCACAATGATTTTATTATGCGGGATTTTATCATTCGCTTAAATAAAAAATTTTTTAAATATGGGAATTAATTTTTAAATTATTTTACATTTAAATTGTTAAATGTAAAGATTAGCTTTTAATTCTTTCCGAAAAAGCGAAATTGTTTTCTTGCAAGATGTATTTCTTTACGGTGTATCGATAGTATTATATTGCTTTAAAGTAGTGGAAAACAAGATATCGCATTTCTTAAATAAATACCAGTTGAGATCTTTTATTATTTCTGCCTTATCTAGGAAGCTTGCTCGCCTTATTATTTTTACCTTATCTAGAAAGCTTGCCTATTAAGAAACAGTACTTGCTTTTAACTATTTAAAAAATTGCTTCTAGCGGAAGAGATTAAAAGCGCGCTAATATTAATCCGCGGACTTCTCTTTCAAATTATTTACTGAAATATACAGGGCGTAATTAAAAGAGTGAACGCCGCTTACACAGCTTCATTTGTGAAAGCGTTTCTACTATATTTTTCAGGAAGCGCAGAAATGATACTATTTGCAAACTCTACCGTAAAGATTTGTGACTTGTACCTTTACGTGTCCGTATTTCCATGTGAAAAGAACAACGGCTGGCAGACAGGCGATGATGCAGCACTCCAGGATCAGTATCGCCGTTCGCATCAACCAGTTCAGAGACACGACGCAAGGCGAATCGTCTTCGCAAGACTCGCATCCTTCAGCGCACGGCAGGCATTCAAACACCCCGCTCTCCGCATATTGACTCTTCTCACCCTGTTGACAAACGTGAAATTATTTTTCTTACGAAGCGATGGCGCTTCGTAAAGGAATGCAAAACATGTACTCGCCAAGATTAGAAAAAATTTCCCATTTTTAAAGGGGAAGTAACGTTCGACACGTTAAATCTTTTTATTTTAGTTTCGCGTGAATTGTGAATTAACTTGGATGGTATGAATTGAATAAACTTTGATTTGCAATTGTAATTGTAATTTTGTGATAATCATAATTTTATTTAATGATATTATTTAGTAATTCCTGCACATATTTGCCTACATATTTTTTTAACAAATAATCTCAGGTCTCTAGAAACTACTGTAAGTGTCTAAACATTAATAAGATTTTACTTGTATCATGAAGAAAGTAACGAAAAAACAAGGTCATAGAAGAGTTATCTGTAAAATGCATTTTTTTTATAACGAGAGCACTCCAAATATATAGAAAATCTATAATATTGATGTTAAAGAAGATCACCACAGTAGAAAATTAATTAATTTTCAGCATTTTTTCTCCTTTGGAACAAAGAGCGCATATATTCGAAGTTATTGTTTGATGTACTCTTTTCGTGTTTTTATGCTGACATATCAAAGGAATTAATTTCATATTTGTCATTAATCAATAATGACGAAAAAGGAAGAGATTGCAAAATTATTATTCCTTAGTATTTCGTACGACGTATCCGTAAAAAACTGGAAACAAAGAAGTCAGGAAGTATTATTTCTCTCAATGACAAATTAATTATCCAAGATAAGTATTTCTGATTTTATCAGTAGTATTAAAGTCTCCATTTTTAAATAAAACTTGTTTTAGGTAACGTATTGATCCAAGATGATCTTATCCCGATTGATCGCAATCTGTGGCGAAACCGATCAACGAGGCAGTCACGCTGATCATAGAAGCTAAATAGTTGCGCAATAAATTACGGGCGTTACATGTATGCATCTATATACGCGCGCTGCATTTATTTATAAATATGATGTGCATACGCCAAATTTTTAAAACGCCATAACTCGACAAAAAATTGATGTAGTGACATGCGGTAAAAACCGATGTTCTACATTTTGCGATCCGCAGATGTTTATACCTACTACATATGCTTTTTCACGTCACGTAAATAAATGTGAATACATTTATGTAAATATAAAACGGTAGACTGTAAAATATCTCTGTGATAATTATGGAATATTTATTCAGAGCATATATAATTGTTATCTTAACATTCATACATTCAATGCGTTGCAATCGGTGGCAATTTTTCGCTTTCTTTCACTGCTGTATCAAAAGAGTAAAAAAGTATCTGAAAAATAAGGGATGCAGTACATATATAAAATTTGAAACACACATTTCAACGTGTACAAAAGATTAAAATAATGTAAAAGATTGAGAGAAATAATAATTGCTGACTTCTTTGTTTCCAGTTTTTCCACGGATATGTCATATGAAATACTAAGGAATAATAATTTCGCAATCTCTTCCTTTTTGACATTCTTCCACACCAACAATGCACACATCAGCACTACTGCCTACTGTGTCCACTATGAGGAAAAAAGGTGACACATCGTTAATATTCGGGCTCCGGTTATTAAAGATATTCGGTGAGAGATGTCATCCCCATTGTAACCGCCGCGGTTACAAACGGTCGCACCAACTACTAAAGGGCGTGACTGGAAAATGGTTTTACCGTCGCGCACGATGGAAATGCCCGTCAAATCACAAAAGATACGTAACTCGCGGTGACAATAGATGCCATCGCGCCACACTGTCGATACCCATTTTGGTTCTGCGAACGCAGAAGTGACGTCTAGCCCGACGGACGTGAAAACTGCGCTGAAAAAAAGAGCCGTTTCTCTACCGTCGTAATAGAATGCGCATTACGTCGTAACGTTGTAGACGCCATAGCCATTTAATTGCACTTACCTGACAACCTTTTTTATTCTGAAATTCCATTTTTAAAGCCGGCTAGAGAATCGAATGTAATGAAAATAGTACGCAATCTGATATTAATCAAATATTTAATTCTGTTTTGCGAACGCGAATAACAACTTCACAGGTAACAAAAAATACTTTATTTGTTTACGAATTGACTTTTAATTTATATTCAGTTAAAGAAAATTAATAAATTTTTCTGTTAGGAGTTAATTTAGATACTAAAATAACAAAAATAAGTCGATTGTTCAGATGGTAAATAATTGTTTCAATCATAATTGCATTGACATATGAAAGACAAAATTAATCAATATATTTATAAATTCGTGAATTGTTTTTCAGTAGAAAATTAATATTCTCTGTAGGTGTTTGCAAATTGATAGCCGATACTGCGTATACAAGATGTCCAATTTCCATCGCGTTATATTTTAATGACGTATTCTTTGATCGATTAACTGTGAACCTGAATTAAAGTTAAAACCGATCTCAAATTTCAAAGAAATTCTGAAATTAAAGCCGTGGCAAATATTTATTGAAATTTGATGAGTCCAGAGTGAAACATTCTATATGTCTCATTAATATATAATTTCATTATTCCGATAAAGTAAATTCTCTTCTTGCGAAAAAAAAAAAACAGATATCACTAAACTGTATCAATTGTTTGTGTGAGGCGCAAAATTAATTCTTCAAACTACTCACCATCATCAATTTCTCATATTCCTCCTCTATGACCGTGCCATTGTAATACCTCTTGTCTGATTTCGTGTCCGGGTAATAGAAACCTCGTTTACAAACGCATCGATAACTACCGCGGCGAAAGCCAAGGCCGGGAATAGCGATGCACTGCGAATAGAAAAGACAAAACAATACGTCATCAATCGTATCTAATCAATTCTACGTATTCAATTCCACTCTTTCTTTATTAAGGGTAACTGTATTCCATCGTGGTTATTTCTCACAATGGCAGAGTTTTTTGATTTCTCGATTGAACGATCGAGAGAATATTTCTCTTCCAGTTATAAAATATATTAATTCATATTTCATTGAAAAGACTGTGCTACATCTCGTAAAAATAAAAATTTATTCTCTTCCAATAAATCCATTTGATCTCTCCGCATACATTACATACATAAATCTTACATCTGTACAGCTGTGACGTATTTTGGTTTTTTCTCTGTGCCACAATGCGAAGAGAGCAGTTTAATTAATTTTTAAACTTGAGGTTTTTGGGTCATCTAAATCTCTAACAATAATTAAATACCCGGATTTTGTGCGCAGAAATTTCATATGTTAAAAATACTTTAATTTAAAGTTTAAGAGGATATACCTGTTTGAAACAGTAGAATTGGAATCATTTTATCAAAATTTGCATATAGTGTAAAAAAATATGATAAAATATATAATTTTTCATACATTATGCAGCTATTATTTTTTAAGAAAAAAGTCAAAGAAAAAAAATGAGACCAAATTAAAAAATATTTCATACTTATAGACTATTTAACGCAGAAATTTTGGATAAACTACGGCCATATTGCGAAATAAACCCGCGCTTTGCATAATTATACGTTGCATATTGTTTTATTCGTGTAGTTAATATGTGAACTACACAAATTAAAAAAAAAATAATAAAGGAACAAAATGCCAGAAAATGACGGCTATGAAAAATTTGAAGCAAAAATCATGAGAAATGGCTCTTATCTTATTTTTATAACAAAAAATGTGTTTTTTCCTCTAACTATGCAGTTCGCGCGATAGAGATAGGTATGTTTGAAATGTTCTCTCCATACCGCAATCCTCTTCGTACTCGAGAGTTATCGTAGTCGCGAATCGGAAAAACGCGGTTTTCGAAAAACACGGTTAGGAGGAAGTTTGGAGTTTGCACAAGGCACATAAGGTCGACAGGATATATTCTATTCTACATTTACCATAATTATCGGAAGATTGTTCCCATTTTTATTGTACTGCCTCTTGCATAAAACAGTCAAACTTTTAAAAATTTCAAAATTTAGACTGACATATTCCGTGATATAATAACAAAAGTATTAAAAACTTGTTGAAAGTTAAAATTTCCATTTATATATCATAAATAGAAATTAACAAATTAATTCCAGTCAAACTGTTACAACTTAAATATTGATCCAGAAATTTAAAACGCAAATTACTCGACAATTTCGATAAACAGGAGTTTTGTTAAACATGTTAAAAGTATCCGGCGTCTTTTCTTCCGAGTTTTAAGTTACGAAAAGTATAACACATCGATAACGCGCGCGCGGTTTATTACAAAGGGAAAAAAAACTCTGCACGAGCACGTAAAGGGTGTTTTTCGTGTAGCGGAAGCCAGCTCTTTGCATCGCTGCAGGGTCGAGAATGGCATTTACAAATAGAGTCGGTCGCCACGCGGAAAAACATTCCCCCGGTGGCTTTGTTCTATCCGGCACGACGCGTTTAGCCGCGCGACGCCGGTCACAGAAGGACACTCGCGGGAAACATCGATCCTCGAGCGGGAGCGTAGCGAGAAATTAGCATTACCTCGGTGGTGCGCTTTTTGCACTTGTCGCTGGCGGCGAATATGTTCAGCTGCGTCGATCCTGCCGGCAACGGGCACTGATCTATGTCTACTCGGCGAAGGTCTATGTCGATACCGCTGGTGCCCCTGCAAACGATAAATCAAATGTTTTGTGATTAAATCCTGGGCTACATAAGAGAGAGACAGGGTTCAACTTAAGTAAGTAACCGACTTGTGCCCCATTATTCCAAAGGTGAAATTGGTCCCTGGTGTCGTAAAGAGAACACACCAACACCACTTATCGACATTGAATTAATAGCGGTAGCTAGCACCTGTTTTTGCGCAATCGTTCAATCGTTTCAATCGTTTTTAGTAATAGAATCTAACATTTCCTCTCCTAAAATACATATGTGTCACGAGTGTGTAATTGGTATAAGTTTTACAAGAAAGAACTTTTCTTTTTACGTTTCTTAGAACAGGTTTGAGCTAAACATACATTATTTTGTTGAAAAGACTGCTAAATATCCAGTTTATATTTTCCGCTTAGACGCATGAATTTAATGCGAGCGTTTCTCACATGTATTTTACGCTAATTGGCTGTTCTCATCTGCAGCCTACGTTGCGTGTGGATGTTGAGTGGATTGATCGATTACTCCGACACGTAATTTCAGTCGTGCTACTCGTGTTTTACACGTTTGGTTCTTTGCTCCATTACTCGTATAATTTTTAATTTGCTTACACCTGCCGCAGTTATAAAGTTTACGTCTCTCTCTCTCTCTCTCTCTCTCTCTCTCTCTCTCTCTCTCTCTCTCTCTCTCTCTCTCTCTCTCTCTCTCTCTCTCTCTCTCTCTCTCTCTCTCTCTCTCCCCTCTCCCCCTTCTCCACTTATCTTATTTTTTTCCATTTTTTTCTCTGCTATTACTATGTTGCTCCGACTTTGATTTATCTCTTTATAGATTTCACAGCTGTCACATTGCACGACACGTTAATTTGATAGATTCTACTTTTTGATAAATTTGATAATCTGCTGCGGTTTTTAAACTTTTACCGCTTTACTTTGGAATGAATCAGATAGTCTTGCTTTCTGGCAGAAATTCGACTGATAAACCATGAATTGCGCGTAGTTCCTTATTTATTTTATACATTCTGCGCTATACATTAATAATTGCGTCCCACCTTTACTGTCACATCATGTTTTTCCTTCCACTTTATAAGATTGCGACTCTCTACTCGAGGAACGAAATTGCGGCCAAATCTTGTTTCTATAAATAATCCATTTTTGCGCACTGCTTTTTATTTGTTTTTCGTATTGTTAATTACTTTCACGAACTATAGTTTCTATTTTTTATTATTTATATATATATATATTAAGATGCCAACAAAACATAAAGGAAATAAAAATGTGGAAGCAAGTAGAAAAATATATATCATATTTTAAATATAAAAATTTATTGTATATATAAGAGCAAGATAAAATTTTAAAATCCGATTTGAATTCATGTATGAAAAATTGGGCCATAAGACGGAAATTGCATATCGTGAATTTCTTGGGTCTCTAATGTTACACTTTTCTACATATAATCTTTAATGTTAAATCAAATTCTCATGCTTCATGTCTCCTAATGCATAATTCAACGCGGGCTGCGCGTGCTGCATCGTGTTGCATCGGGCTGATTATGCGTGTAATATATCTTCCGCTGATTCTCAACTTGTGTAATCCGATAATAATGCTTCCTCTAACATAAAACGCAGTATAGCTATTTTGTATAAAATATAAATACGAGGTGTATCACCAGCTGTTTCTAAAAATCAATAAGTGCATAAATGTACTCTACTGTAATCTGTCGATTTTTACTTATAAATATTTTCAATTTTAAATATCTTGGATAGACATGCTATGAAGTTTGAAGAAATTAACTGCAGAACAAAATTATATAGTTTTTTTTTTAATTGTAAGACTTAGTGAGTCAAAATGCTTGTTCTTTTAATTATTTCGATATTTAAAATAAATATCTCGACAAAGTAATAGTCATTTTTTTTTCTCTTTTTGTTTCTAGCTACTCGATAATAACGTCACAAGTTTAGAACACCTTGTATAATGAACTGGTTCGACTCTCCCGTTTCGATAGTTGGCCAGTATCGATTCTTGATTTGCAAGAATTACGATGCGTTCGCAGTCGCGCTGATAACAAATTTCCTTTAAACGGATATTGCATTCTTCGGAACGATATATAGCCCCGTTCTTTTTTGACTGGCGGCATTTACCATGATTTCTGCGTGCAGTGGTCCGTGAAATTTTGCATTTTTGGATCCATATGGAGATCGGGAAGGGTGATGTTATTTCCGACGTACGATTGCGAACGAATTTTCGCGACCCGCAAATGTATCGCTTAGTGAACATATTGAATGGTGATTTCACTTACATTAGTCCAATTGAATGGAAACGTTTCAGCTGCATAGTAAGAGCATTTTATTCATTTGGATAGCCCACGGCAAATAAATTTGAATTTTTAATTAGGCGTTGTAGCTTTACCACAACATTTAATTAAAATTTTATATGATTACATTTACATTATTTAATTTTAACAGAAATAAAAGTAAAGTAAAAAAATTTTAGTCTTCCCGCTCTTTTATATATAATAAATTTTTATATTTAAAATCTGTGACTTTATACATTTTTCGGTTCTTCCATATTTTCATTTCTTTCATATTTTGATAGAAATTTAATTTAATTTGATAAGAATAGTAATTGAAAGACAAAATTAAAGATTTGCGTAATCATAATCAAATATCTATCATCTTTCAGAGTTTGAGCATTACAAAGAGCATTCTAAAGATTGTGCAAATATATAAGATTAAAAACATTTATTTATTATAATATATGTTAATTCTTGCTAAAATATTAATTCTCTCAATTTGCTGCATTAATAAATTAATTAAAATATGTATCACTTTACAAAGAATATAAGAAGAAACACATAGAATTTCAAAAATATTAATAACTAGTAATAACAATGAATTCCTTTTAAAGAGAGATCAGGAATTCAGTTTTATGCAATGCAATTTCTCTTTAACTACTATTTAATCGTCTTTCGTTATGACGTATATCACTTTATATTGAGATGGGAATGATTGGCTTCATATGCTGCTGTAGACAGAGGAAATACCCTGCATTGCAAATTTTTGACTTTCAATACGTGGCAAATATGAAAATGGCAATAACGTATCCGACCGCCATATGCCCCTTTGTCGCCATAAAATAGCAAGAATTCTCGCCCGAATTGCAGTAGAACTGAGTCGCAAAAGGTATTTTCCATTTACCATGTTGGAGGCCAGTAACAATTAATATCACTACTTCCGCAGAAAGAGAGAGAGAAAGAGAGAGAAAGGGGGGAAGGGAGAGCAGGAGAGAGAGAGAGAGAGAGGAATAGAGACTTCCTGTTGACAGAGACTTCAAATAGTTGCTTTCAGAATAGAACTAAAAGCACCTCAAATGGTTAAATCAATTTGCATAACTGAGTTCCGTTCGTACTTTAGATTAACTCCTCGTCTGTGGCATTTGCAACATGCCCAAATTTGCCATTAAAATAAATTGAATATCGATTAAACGTCGTTTCTTATCCAATTTTCTGCAGCATTATTTCTGCAAAAATTCTGCAAATTTTGCATATTTTTATGAAATCGTAATCGATTATTTGATGGTTGGATGGAACTTTTTGTTGTAAATATAAGTTTTTATTCAGTCGTACTGATTTCCTTCGAACTATTTTCTTGTTCAATATAAGTAAAATTTGGATTTTATTTATAATATATAGGAAAATGGATAATTGGATCACGTTCTGCACGCAAAAATATCAACCAGTTATGTTGTACGTTGAATTCTTGCTGCGGCATATAATCCAATTATTCTACCGAGCAACGTCAGTCAATATAAATATTTGCAAACTATGAGAAGCACAGGCAAGTCCCGTTTACAATAAAACGAAATCAGATTAAATTGAAATCAGATTAAATAAAATATTAAATGCAATGTAAAATAAAATTTCAAAACAAAGTTGGCTTTGTTATTGATTACTATACATTGTAAAATTAAATATTTATTTGTTATTATTTATTGTGGAATTATGTATTCATTGTTTCTGTTTTATTCATAATACACAATTTGCGATGTTATTTCTAATCTTTAATTTATAGCAAAGTTTGGTGTAATAAAAATTAAAAATTTTATTAAAACTTAGAAAATTGTGGCAAAATTATTGTTAAAAATGAATTGAGATCAAGTCAAAAGCTCTATAGCTGAAAAGTAATGTACGATCGTTTTTGATCACTCCATATGCATTTGAGCTATAAGAATTTTGCTGAACTATAATAAGATTCTATAAAGGGCACGATATCTACATACTTCATCGCCAGGAAGGTGAGAAATGCTGAAAATATCTCGGCCTCGTGTGTTCGTCAAATTGGTCATATCGATTATCGATTGCTACCAAGCCCTGGATTTCAACGGCAGTTCCGAGTTATCATCGCTTTCACGAAAGCGCGACTTCATCTTCCATTAAGTTAAGCAGAGCTAGAGTTTTGTTATTGTTCAATTAAGTGCATGTAAATTCTCACACTTTATAATAACCGACGCAAAGTTTATTCATATGAAACCCATTGTAAAGAGATAGTCATACAGATATATAATTACAAATAATTATAAAAAAATTATTATACTAATTTTCTCCATTTTCCTCCGCATGTAAATTTACCAATAGATTAAAATCAGCAAAAATTTTTTTCCAGTCGAAAAATATCTTTCTTGAGTTTTGTTATAAATTGAAAGTAATTGTTATATAATTTATTCCAGATTTGACAAAGAAAACAGTTCAATTCACGGTCCCAATTGGATGTTGTACATCTCGTGTACCAATTATCCGCTAATTGGTTTTAATTGATTTCACGTGTTCGTTGTATTCGCGTTGTGTTTATTTATTTACTCGCCATTATGAGAGAGGCGCATGTGCGCTTTACCACTCGGAGCTGCACCCGTAAGAATGTCGAACGTGACGTGTATAATTATCAGCGCGCAATTCCGGCGCAAGTTAGGTCGAGATAATAAGGTAACTGGTTAAACGTATAAATTAGGTGCGCATGTGCCTCGGAGG